GAACATGATTCATTAATACAACATATACACAATTGACTTCTCAAAAATAATTAGATATAAAAATATTAGGAAAACAATTCGCTTATCTATACTATGTTATATCCCTGTTTATTAGCTTTCCAACACTTCGAACGAGGGCCAAAACAAACTTATGGATCAAAAGTTACGTCCAAAACGATTTCGACCGAAAACATGAACGGTCGTGACGGATAGCATGCAATTTTGTGCGTTTTTCACCGTTGGAGGCCTTCTGGACCTCCGATTTCGATTCCGTAAAAACCCAAACTCTCTGAAAATTATAACCCATTCAACACTATAATTATCTCAAGTAAATTTACAATTTTAACACAATTAAACTATCTAATCATTATTTTTAGATTATGCCTAAAACCTTTAAAATTAAAGGATATATGTTCAATCCCGTATCATATGTACGCCTCTACTTCTCATAATTTCTTACAAATACCCCACAGTCATTAGAGTTATCACAAATCACTTATCTTACAGGTTAAACAATCTCAATAATAGATTTTGGCTATGAAGGCCTAATTTCCTTTACTCTCAAATCAACCTTAAACCTATCAGACCATCAGTTCAAAATCCATATACGGTTAAAACCTCAATAGTAGATTTTGGCCATGAAAGCCTACTTTCCCTCAAACCCAAATCGACCTCAAACCTATCAGACCATCGGTTCAAATCCCTATATTTTTAAAACCTCAATAATAGATTTTGGCCATGAAGGCCTAATTTCCTTTATCTCAAATCAGCCTCAAACCCTTTAAACCCTTAAATCAGCTTTAAATACATTGAATCACATATTGAAAACAATGAAGATAATACTCCCCATATCTTAATTGCCGACTCTAAGCTTTTCTCTTTGATTCTTGGACACCTTGCGAAACTTTTTCCTCAATCCTCTTTCTCAGAGCTCTGGCTTCTATTTCTTCCCTTTTCACGGTCTAACAGGAATGAATCCTAATTCCCTCAAAATTTCTTTTTGTTAAACCTAACTCTAGGCCTTAAAATTGGGCTTTCCAACTTCACCCTCACTAACTCCTCCTCAAATGTCCATTTTGCCCTTAATTCACTTCTATTTATTTAATTTAATAATAATATCAATATATTCATATTATATACTATTATTTAAATAAATAACCCAAAACTCCATAATTCTCAATATTTCATACCAACCACCGAAAATCACCAAAAATACAAATATTCATATTTAAATAAATTAAATAAACATTCCAATAAATTTGGGGTGTTACAGTAACTGCATAAACCAACTCCAAGTGTCCTTTGACTCAGTTTCTACCACTTCAAAGGCAATTGGTAAATATTGGTCATTAGGGTCTCTTCCCACAGCTATTAACAATATCCCACCATACTTGTGTTTTAGATGACAGCTATCTAATCCAATAAATGGCCTACAAGTTAATTTCAAAGCTTTCTTCATACCATCAAAGACCATGTAACACCTTTTCAAAACCCTTGTAGTAAACCTGGACCAGGAGATTGAATGTTCATCTTGAAAGTATTTCCTCGTGAAGCCCTCCTCAATTTAGCCCCATATGACCATAACAAACTATATTGTTTACTAGAGTCTCCATCCACTATCCTTTTGGCAATCTGTCTTGCCTTAAATGTCCTACAACCAGGAATTTCGGTTGCATACCTCACCCTAACATCTACAATTACATCATTCAACTTCATTTTGTTATTGTCCTTCATCCTATCAACTATCACTTTTGCAACCCAGTCAGCTTTGACACTCTTATTAAAAAAGTTGTCTTCCACACTTATGTTTATCATACAAGGTATTAATTCTAAAGGTTGTTGATGTTAGGACTTTACTGCACATTACAGTGTAATTGCATTGTGATTTTTCCTTACAAACCACCCTACATCTCACTGCATCATTTTTTACAAATCTGATATCCCTACCATTCAATACATTATGTTCCAAAATAGCACTTTTGAATTGCCTTAGAGATGAAAACTCCACTCCAACCTTGAATTTAGATTCCTTTGTAATCCCATATTCCTTATTGAACCTAAAAACTCTTGGTCTATCATCACCATTATCATCTTCAGCACTACTATCAAGCTCATCAGTAAGATAATCATCTTCAATTACATGTTCCTTTCCCATCTCTGGTGTAATAAGAGTTATTATCACTGCCTCACTAGAGCCTGCTACATCTGCAGCAGGTATAATTCTAGGTTGACTATTAAATTTCTCATCAAAAACCTCATAAAAACCCTTCATCCTTTCTTCTTCACTATCCTCAAATTTGACATCCTTCACATCTTCATCACTAGAACTCTCATCAGTATTTGAATCAACCTCATCTTCACATATTTTAGCCTTGTTCATCTTTCTTACATTCTCCATAAAGGTTGCATTCCCTATACTAGGTTTAGGCTCAGTGTATATTTCAACCTCACCTTGGTGACTTGCTTGAATGAATGCAGCTAACTCAAATGCATCACCATCATCCTTAAAAGGTTTTAGGTCATTTTCTAAAGTATCATCACCATGTTTCCACCACATCTTAACATTATTATACTCAAACCTAGGATCAATTCCCTTGATTAAATCACATGCCTAAAAAAATGACCATAACTCGCTATCTTGACCATTAAAGGCATAAACTTCCCCACCCTCATACTTTAGCATTGAGTCTTTTACGAAAGAGCCCATCGTGTAAAATATTACTTTAAGAACACCCATCCCTACATAATGGATGGAAAATACAGTCAAACATGGACCCACTAAATGGCTATTGTATGCATACAAACCCTAATAACTACAAGTAAAATACGATCACTATGCCAAACTTCAATAAATTAGAATCTAAAAGAGAACATGTGGACCTACCTCAGTTTCAATGTCAAGGGACCACAAAGCGAGCATCTTTCATGCAAATGCTGGGACCACAAAGCAAACCAAACGCAATGATAATGGAGTCAACTTTCTGCAAACAAAGTAAAAAAAAAATGTAATGTGTCACTGATACTATGTTCCACAAAGCAAACACAAGAAGTTGAAGAAGAATGAAGTTGAATTCAAAAATTACCTTCTATGGAGTAAACGAAGGAGCGAGAATGAGTCAATTTTGGGGGTGAAAATGATTTAGGATTTCTAGTGCTATGTATTTACTAAACTAATAAAGGAACTTAGGTGGCACATTATATGTTCAGTAGCACGTGCTTAATTTTCCAGTCATCTACTCAAAAATGTCAACTCATCCGCCACATAAGATCTTGTCAAGTGTAATAGACGTCAGAGATGAAAAATAGGGACGGAAAAGTTTTGAAGGAAGAATATTTGAACAAAAATGTTAGAGGGACTAAACTAGATTATGACTTATTTTCAGGTCCTAAAAACATATTTTTAACCCTTAATTCAAATATTTTATAAACATTGTAAAAGCAAAATTAATATTTATGTATGAAAAAATATAAATTGTTGATTCAAATATTTTTATGTACGGTAACAACTTTACTATTGATTTAAATATTTACATAAATATTGTTAAAACAAAAATAATTTTTATATACCGGAAAAAATACATTGTTGACTCAAATTTTTTTTATATACGAGAACAATTTTGCTATTGATTCAAATATTTTTATAAATAATGTCAAAACAAAATTAATATTTATATACTGAAAAAAAATTACTTTGTTTTGAAATATTTTTATATATGATAAAATATTACTATTATAAACGGGCGCAACTTTACTACTGATTCAAATATTGAATAATAGAAATTTATCGATATTTTTTTCAAGTATGTGAAAAATTAAGGGAGTTTTAAAAAGATTGAGTATATATTTTAAAAGTGTATTCTCTCTTGTAAAGTTATTGTCTTATTTGTAAAAAAAACTAAAACGACTGATTTATCTAATACAAGTTTCTATAATTTTTATTTTTAATCATATTATTCATAACATTGTTGTTACATTTGATCTTTTGCATGTATTACTATTTTAATTTAAATTTATTATTATTTTTAAATTTATTCTTCTTTTGACTTTTTAATTTTATGACAGTCTGCAAACAAATACGCGTCGAAAATTATATTCCACCCAAAAACGTATCTCGAATATATGCATGGGCCGTTATTTTACAAATAAGAGATGTCAAAATGTAGAAGATTTTACCCCATACCCCTACCCTTATACCCACACCCCTACACTCAAAAATATTGGACCAAAATACCCTTATTTAAATATCTATGATTTTAACATTTTTTTCATTTTCACTTTCCATTTCAAGACTTTCTGAGAGCTCTGAATCCAGTTACAAACAGGAAATCTTCTACCAACTCTTCCAGAACACATTTGATTTGTAATACATACCGGAACACCTAAAAGTAAGTCTTCCGGTTTGTATTTTGTTTTTGTATCTTCACCGGAACTCTTTCCTGAAGACTTCCGATTCACAAACTTTTGAGTTTGTTCGCCGGAACTCTTCCCTGAAGACTTCCAGTTCACAAAAATTTTCGTTTCTTCTCTGGAAGTCTTTCTTGAAGACTTCCGGTTCATTGTTTTTTTTTTAATTTCTAATTTTATTTATTTATTTATTTTTTAATTTTTAATTATATTGATTTTTTTTCCAGTGGTGCGCACACGAGGCAGAGATGGTAGGATCCCTCGTGAACTAGGACGGGACAAGTCATCGAGGATGGCTGAAGAAGAGCATTTTGATGCATCTGCATCAGCATCCGAGCCAGTTAGATATCCAGGAGGACCGTATGATACATCTCTGTTAGTTAAATACAAACAGCATGTTGCATACCATATATGGTTCGGTGAGGTAAGTAAACAAAAATTATTTAATATTGAATAGAATTCGAATTTTTAATATTGAATTTTATAATATTTTTACTTTTAATTTTTTTCAGGAGAGAGGATCGAAGAAAGAGTTAAAGGTGGCGGAACATGGGTTGAAGTTGACTTAGAGGGTTCCACTACAGCTACCCAGAGAGATGGAGAGCTGGATATCTAGGTCTGGTCTAACTTCACTTCAGAGAACCAGTTTAACAAAGATAGACACAAACCTAGTTTCCGCTTTTGCAGAGAGGTGGCATCTAGAGACATCTTCATTTCACATGCTGTTTGGTGAGATGACGATTACTCTAGATGACGTATCTTGCGTGCTTCACTTTCCCATCAGGGGAGTCTTCTGGAACCCTCAAGATATCAGTGAAGCGCTTGCTGTTGAGTGGGCTATTGATTATTTAGGAGTGTCACAGAGAATAGCACAACAACAAGTCAGTGAGTGCAGGGGTTCCTACTATAAGGTGGAGTGGTTATATGATCGGTTCGTAGAGCACAGAGCTGCATCTCGATGGGATTATGCCACTAGAGCTTATTTGCTGATGTTAGTGGGTTCCACTATTTTTGTAGACAAGACGTTTATGCTTGTCGAGGCACGATACCTCTCACTGTTTATAGACTTGGATGGCTTATCAGGATACAGTTGGGCAACAGCTGTGTTGGTTACTCTTTACAAATATCTCGGAGATGCTTCCATGTTCAGCTGTAAGCAGTTTGGTGGTTATCTGACTCTCCTACAGGTATTTATTTTAATTTAGTATATTTTGTTTTAATTAATTTTATCTAGCATACTAATTTTATTTATCTAGTTTATTATGTTATAATTAATTATTTTAAATTTTGTAACAGTGTTGGATTCATGAGTATTTTCCAACACTTTGGAAAAGAGGAGAGAACTTGATACCAGCTAATAATGTGGGTCTCCCACGAGCGATGAGATGGTCCTATATGCAAGGTGCCTTGAACGTGGATGACTTGAGGCCTATTCTTGACGAGCTGACACCTGCCGATGTCATATGGCGCCCATTCGAGAATCATAGAGTATGGCGTTAGTTTGATGAGTTATGTCTCTATAGGGGGTGTCTGAGGTGGGGTGACACTATTGTTCCATACTTGCCTGACAGATGTTTGCGTCAGTTTGGATACAGGCAGCATGTTCCATGTAACACCCCACTTCCCAAAATCAATTAAATTAATAAACATCATAAATAAACATCAGAGTATTTCTCCCCAGTGGGGTATCACATAAAATCAACATTTCCTTTATAAAAGGTTTTCCTCCAAAATACAGCGGAATATTAAAAATATTAAAATCCAATAAAAGTTTGATACGTTCACAGGAAAATAAAATATAAGTTCTTCAGAAAACAAATAAAAACGCCCAAGTCCCGTGCTACGTATCAGGGCATCCTAGACTCGACTGTCACACCATAATCCAAGCTAGCTAAGTACCTGGATTATCTGTACTTCCGGAGAAGCACAGACACAACAACAGCAAAGGGGTGAGAAATCATGATCAAAAATATAATGGTAATGTAATACATGTAAATAAGGCAGTAAAACACACCAACACGTCAATTATTCACCCCCAACAATACCATACAACGAACCTACTGTTCAAATTACAATATAACATATTATAATGCAATTATGCAACACAACACCATGCATGCGGTACCGACTCATTGGTTCATTCAATTGAACCTGGATAGATCACTTACGCTCCTCCTGAGACATGATCTATCCCCCACCATTCTCCACAAAGGAGTACAGATGAATCACTTACGCTCCTCCTGAGACATGATTCATCCCACCAAAACACCATGATATGCAAGACACCAATGCATAACTATTATATTCTGGCACACTAAGTGCACACGATCCTCCTGGTCATATCATCATACATCAATGCAAATGTATAGATATATTACACCAACACCATATAAATCAATCAGATGGTAAACAAATTCATACTATAACACCAGATATAACTACATCCCACCACTCGGGGATACTCGATCCTACTGATCACTACACACATATACATCAACTAATTGCTCACCAACAATATTAAGGGAAACGCGTGCCATCACCAAGTACACAAGTTAAATCCCACACTCATCATTTTCACACTGCAACAAGGCTAAAAGGATCACACGAGACCAATGCTCGAATCCAAAACATCACAAAAATTCATTTGGTTCTGCTACGTTCGCTGGCATTCGCTAGGCGAACCCCCGTGGCGAACCTTCGCTGGCATTCGCCAGGCGAAGTTCTTGTGTTTTTAGTCTGGGACTTAATTTCTGAATTATTCGCTGCCTCTTCGCCCCAGCTCGCCAGGCGAACTCTCTCCTCCCTTCGCCAGGCGAAGCTTCGCCAACATTCGCCAGGCGAAGCCCAGCGAATGCTGCGATTCGTCAGTTTCCTCACAATTCTGCAGTGCTATTCTAGGCCAAATTATGCCTATCATCTCAACTCAGATTCCCAGCCTATTCTAGTACCAATCTTGCCTATTACTGTAAACAATCGGTTTCTAATTCCTATTCCCAAAATCATCACCTAAACACTATCGATACCTCAAAAGCCATACAGAACTTTCCCTAAAAACCGTAAAACACCCTATATGCCCTATATGCCAACTCAACCAAAAACAACAATTCATTAACGATTACTATACAATTAACAACAATCATCATCAATCATACCATATCAATATATATATTATCATATATCGATCAATTTCCTACGGGGTTAAGGAATCTCCAACTACCCTATACATGTATAAACCATTCCCAATCAAGTTTCTCCCCCCTTACCTTATCAATTGGTTGATCGATAGAAATCCTCCTAGAATTGGTCTCTTGGCCTTCCCCTTTTCTCTTCCGTTCTTCGTTCCCTTTTTCCTTCGCTCTTTTTCCTTTCTTTCGTTCTTTTCTCTTCTCTCTTTTCTATCGCCTTTTTTTCTCAATTTCTAAAATGTATCGTACCACTCTCCCCACCCTTTCACATTCTATTTTCTTTATTAAATCTAATCCCAATTAATAAAATAACTTAATAAAATAATACAATATTATTATTAATACTAATAATATTATAATATTAATAATAATAATAATAATAATCATAATAATAATAATACTCATTAATAATAATAATAATAATAATAATAATAATAATAATAATAATAATAATAATAATAATAATAATAATACTAATAATACTAATATCATTATTTCACCAAAATAATAATAATATTAATAATATTAACAAATATAATAAATATAATAATAATAATAATAACACTCCCACCAATGTTACTATTATTTTTATATTATTATATTCCACACCAAAATACCATCAATAGTCCTCCCACATTAGGGGCACCCACCAAACATCATCAAATACACCCCCACCAAAGGGCACACCAACATATAATATTTAAAATAATAATAAAATGACTAGATAATTAAAATGGGTGTTACAACTCTCCCCCACTTCAATTATTTTCGTCCTCGAAAATTACCTGATGGAAATAGCTCCGGATACGCTTCTCGCATCCTGCTTTCCAACTCCCAGGTCACACTGCCTCCTGCAACATCTCCCCACGCTACCTTCACCAAAGGTATTTCCTTCCCTCGGAGCTTTTTCATCTTACGGTCCTCGATCCTCAACAGCATCGTCTCAACAGTAATATTCTCCCGAATCTGAACATCATCTCTCTGAATCACATGAGATGGATCAGAAACATACTTTCGCAATTGCGACACATGAAACACATCATGTAAGTTTGACAACTCAGGCGGCAACGCCACCCTATAAGCCACAACACCAATCTTCTGCAAAATCTCATAAGGTCCAATGAACTTAGGATCCAGCTTCTTGGACTTCAATGCACGACCCACACCAGTCATCGGATTAACTCTTAGGAATACGTGATCACCTACACAGAATTCCAACTCTTTCCTCCGATTATCATGATAACTTTTCTGCATACTCTGAGACACTTTCATTTTCTCACGAATCATTTGAATTGTCTCAGTAGTCTGCTGTATAATTTCTGGTCCAAGCACCATATTCTCACCAGTTTCATACCAACACAGAGGAGTCCTACACCTCCTCCCATACAAAGCTTCAACCGGTGCCATTCCGATACTAGAATGGTAACTGTTATTGTACGTGAACTCAATCAATGGTAAATGAGTATCCCACGCACCACCCTTTTCTAACACACAAGCTCTCACCAAATCTTCAAGCGACTGAATAGTCCTCTCCGACTGACCATCAGTTTGCGGATGATAAGCTGAACTCAATTTCAACTTAGTTCCCAAAGCTTCCTGCAAGCTCTTCCAAAATTCCGAAGTAAACCGCGGATCTCTATCCGACACAATACTGGACGGAACACCATGCAACTTCACAATTACCCGAATGTAAATATCCGCCAGCTTCGTTAACGGAAAACTAATATTGAGCGACACAAAGTGTGCAGACTTCGTCAATCGATCCACAATCACCCATATAGCATCAAAACCTCTCGCCGTATTCGGCAAACCTGTCACAAAATCCATAGTAATGCAATCCCATTTCCAAAACGGAATCTCTAATGGTTGCATAAATCCAGAAGGTCTCTGGTGTTCCACCTTCGACTTCTGACATGTCAAACAGGCATACACAAATTGAGCTATGTCTCTTTTCATACCAGACCACCAAAATAATTTCTTCAAATCATGATACATTTTCGTAGCTCCCGGATGAATACTTAGGCTACTACGATGTCCTTCGCTCAAAATTGACTTTTTCAATTCTTCATCATCTGGTACACAAATCCTGCCTCTAAATCTCAACACACCTATACTATCCAATTTAAAGTCACTATCGGAGTCACTCCCTACTCCAGGCATCAAATCTACCAATTTCACATCCAACTTCTGATTTTCCCTAATCATATCCAAGGAGTCATTATTTACCTGCAACATACCCAACATTACACTATTTGCAGTAGTCTCACAAACCATGCTCAAATCTCTAAACTGTTCAATTAACTCAATTTCTTTCACCATCAGAGCTGCCATATGAATTGCTTTCCTACTCAAAGCATTTGCCACTACATTGGCCTTTCCTGGATGATAACTCAAACTGAAGTCATAATCCTTCAAAAATTCCAACCATCTTCTCTGCCTCATATTCAACTCTTTCTGATCAAACAGGTATCTCAGACTCTTATGATCACTAAACACTTCAAATCTTGAACCATATAAATAGTGTCTCCAGATTTTCAACACAAAAACAACCGCAGCTAATTCAAGATCATGAGTCGGATAATTTCGCTCATGTACCCTCAGTTGCCGCGAAGCATATGCTACTACCTTGCCATTCTGCATCAGAACCCCGCCTAATCCCATCTTAGACGCATCACAGTACACCATAAACGGTTCACTCGGAGTCGGTAACACTAACACCGGTGCCGTAGTCAATCTCTTTTTCAACTTTTCAAAACTTTCTTCACAAGCAGCATCCCATACAAAAACTTGGTTCTTTCTCGTCAACTGAGTTAATGGCAACGCCAAATTAGAGAACCCTTCAATAAACCTGCGGTAATAACCGGCTAACCCCAAAAAGCTTCTAATCTCTGTCGCTGTCTTCGGCGGTTCCCACTGCAATACTGCACTTACTTTTGACGGATCCACCGTTATTCCATCTTCAGATATTACATGCCCCAAGAAACTTACTTTCTTCAACCAAAAGTCACACTTTGACAGTTTAGCAAATAATTTATTTTCCTTCAACACTTGCAAGGCAATTCTCAGATGTCCTGCATGCTCTTCATCAAATTTAGAATAAATTAATATATCATCAATAAACACTATAATGAACTGATCCAAGTAAGAATGGAAAATTCTGTTCATATACTCCATAAATACTCCCGGCGCATTAGTCACTCCAAACAGCATTACAGCATATTCGTAATGTCCATATCGAGTCCTAAAGGCAGTCTTCTGAATATCACCTTCTTTTACTCTCATCTGATGATAACCCGATCTTAAGTCGATCTTACTAAATACACGAGCTCCCACCAGCTGGTCCATCAAATCATCAATCCTAGGTAGAGGATACTTATTCTTAATAGTCACTTTATTCAATTGACGGTAGTCGATGCACAGACGCATACTACCATCCTTCTTCTTCACCAACAACACTGGAGCTCCCCACGGCGATACACTTGGTCTAATAAACTTTCTATCCAACAATTCTCTAATCTGAGACTTCAACTCAGCCAATTCCACTGCAGACATCTTGTACGACGCCATAGAAATAGGTCTCATACCAGGAACAAGATCAATACCAAATTTTACTTCTCGCGTCGGAGGCAATTCCGTAATGTCGTCAGGAAACACTTCCGGAAATTCACTCACCACCGCTAATTCCTCCATTGGCACTTTGTTATCCACCGATAAAGTTGCAAATAAAGCAAACACTCTAGTTTCATCTTCCAACAAGGCCCTCAATTCTTTATTAGACAAAGAACTTGCCACAGCTTCCTCTTCAGGGGTCAAGAACAACAATTCCTTCCGAAAACAATCGATGTAGACTCGGTTGAACTCTAACCAGTTCATACCCAGAATAACATCCAACTTACCAAGTGGTAGACAAATCAGATCCACTCCAAATTCTCTATCGAAAATAGTCAGTGGACACTTCAGGCATACCAAAGAAGTAGTCACTGAACCTATAGAGGGTGTCTCAATAGTCATCCGTCTCTCCAGAGTGGACGGCACCAAACCTATCCTCTCCACACAATCTACAGAAATAAACGAGTGCGTTGCACCCGTATCAATAATAGCAATCAAAGGAATATTATTGATAATACAAGTACCTCTGATCACATGCTCATCACTGGCAACTTGAGTTTCTGCCAAGGCAAACACTTTCCCACCAGCCGGAGACGTTTGAGGCTTCTTCGACTTCTCACAATGTGTACTGATATGACCCTTCTCACCACAGTTATAACAGGTCGGCATAGTTGCTCTGCAGTCAGCTATCACATGACCTGGTTTACCACACTTAAAACACTTCTTGGCTTCATTAGGACAGTCATTAGCACGGTGTCCCATACCACCGCACCGGAAACATTTCCCTTCAGCAGATGTTCTCCCATCTCTAGGCTTCTTATCAATAACAGCTTTACGTTTTCCCTTATCAGCAGAAACACTATAAGGAGTACCACTGAACCTCTGCTTACCCTTACGGTCATTAACGGCTTTGTAGTGCGCAATCCTTGCTCGGTTATCGTTATCATAGATTCTGCTCCTGCTTACCAGCTCAGGATAGCTCCTGATCTTCTGACAAGCAATCCCCAACTTAATCTCTGGACGCAGTCCATTCTCAAACTTTAAGCACTTAGAGGTCATTGCCCCCTCCACATTATAGTGGGGACAATACTGCACCAGCTCCTCAAACTTAGCAGCATACTCTGCTACAGTCATACTACCCTGCTTCAGCTCTAAGAATTCAATCTCCTTAGCGCTTTGGATATCTTCCGGGAAATACTTCTCCAGAAAACCTTTCTGAACCACCTCCCAAGTAATGGCAGTTCCAGCAGCTTCCAACCTTTGGCGACTATTGTCCCACCAGGCTTCAGCCTCACCCTCCAGCATGTGAGTACCAAACCTCACCTTTTGTTCATCGCTACATTCCATAGTCCTGAAGATCTTTTCAATTGCCTTCAGCCACTTCTGAGCAGCTTCAGGGTCCAGAATTCCTCCTTCAAATGTTGGCGGCTTGTTGCTCCGAAACTGCACCAAACTCCTGAACTGGGCATCTGCAGTTTGATTCTGAATAGCAACCGCTTGCGCCATTGCTTGCATAGCAGCAGCCAATGCAGCATCGTTCCTTCCTGCCATACTTCTCAAAAAGAACAACACCAGGTTAAAAGATATTCAACTACATCATAAAGGACAAACTCAACTCGACTCAACAACACTGGCCGGACGGACCGACCTGCTCTGATACCAATTGTAACACCCCACTTCCCAAAATCAATTAAATTAATAAACATCATAAATAAACATCAGAGTATTTCTCCCCAGTGGGGTATCACATAAAATCAACATTTCCTTTATAAAAGGTTTTCCTCCAAAATACAGCGGAATATTAAAAATATTAAAATCCAATAAAAGTTTGATACGTTCACAGGAAAATAAAATATAAGTTCTTCAGAAAACAAATAAAAACGCCCAAGTCCCGTGCTACGTATCAGAGCATCCTAGACTCGACTGTCACACCATAATCCAAGCTAGCTAAGTACCTGGATTATCTGTACTTCCGGAGAAGCACAGACACAACAACAGCAAAGGGGTGAGAAATCATGATCAAAAATATAATGGTAATGTAATACATGTAAATAAGGCAGTAAAACACACCAACACGTCAATTATTCACCCCCAACAATACCATACAACGAACCTACTGTTCAAATTACAATATAACATATTATAATGCAATTATGCAACACAACACCATGCATGCGGTACCGACTCATTGGTTCATTCAATCGAACCTGGATAGATCACTTACGATCCTCCTGAGACATGATCTATCCCCCACCATTCTCCACAAAGGAGTACAGATGAATCACTTACGCTCCTCCTGAGACATGATTCATCCCACCAAAACACCATGATATGCAAGACACCAATGCATAACTATTATATTCTGGCACACTAAGTGCACACGATCCTCCTGATCATATCATCATACATCAATGCAAATGTATAGATATATTACACCAACACCATATAAATCAATCAAATGGTAAACAAATTCATACTATAACACCAGATATAACTACATCCCACCACTCGGGGATACTCGATCCTACTGATCACTACACACATATACATCAACTAATTGCTCACCAACAATATTAAGGGAAATGTGTGCCATCACCAAGTACACAAGTTAAATCCCACACTCATCATTTTCACACTGCAACAAGGCTAAAAGGATCACACGAGACCAATGCTCGAATCCAAAACATCACAAAAATTCATTTGGTTCTGCTACGTTCGCTGGCATTCGCTAGGCGAACCCCCGTGGCGAACCTTCGCTGGCATTCGCCAGGCGAAGTTCTTGTGTTTTTAGTCTGGGACTTAATTTCTGAATTATTCGCTGCCTCTTCGCCCCAGCTCGCCAGGCGAACTCTCTCCTTCCTTCGCCAGGCGAAGCTTCGCCAACATTCGCCAGGCGAAGCCCAGCGAATGCTGCGATTCGTCAGTTTCCTCACAATTCTGCAGTGCTATTCTAGGCCAAATTATGCCTATCATCTCAACTCAGATTCCCAGCCTATTCTAGTACCAATCTTGCCTATTACTGTAAACAATCGGTTTCTAATTCCTATTCCCAAAATCATCACCTAAACACTATCGATACCTCAAAAGCCATACAGAACTTTCCCTAAAAACCGTAAAACACCCTATATGCCCTATATGCCAACTCAACCAAAAACAACAATTCATTAACGATTACTATACAATTAACAACAATCATCATCAATCATACCATATCAATATATATTATCATATATCGATCAATTTCCTACGGGGTTAAGGAATCCCCAACTACCCTATACATGTATAAACCATTCCCAATCAAGTTTCTCCTCCCTTACCTTATCAATTGGTTGATCGATAGAAATCCTCCTAGAATTGGTCTCTTGGCCTTCCCCTTTTCTCTTCCGTTCTTCGTTCCCTTTTTCCTTCGCTCTTTTTCCTTTCTTTCGTTCTTTTCTCTTCTCTCTTTTCTATCGCCTTTTTTTCTCAATTTCTAAAATGTATCGTACCACTATCCCCACTTCTTCACATTCTATTTTCTTTATTAAATCTAATCCCAATTAATAAAATAACTTAATAAAATAATACAATATTATTATTAATACTAATAATATTATAATATTAATAATAATAATAATAATAATAATAATAATAATAATAATAATCATAATAATAATAATACTCATTAATAATAATAATAATAATACTAATATCATTATTTCACCAAAATAATAATAATATTAATAATATTAACAAATATAATAAATATAATAATAATAACACTCCCACCAATGTTACTATTATTTTTATATTATTATATTCCACACCAAAATACCATCAATAGTCCTCCCACATTAGGGGCACCCACCAAACATCATCAAATACACCCCCACCAAAGGGCACACCAACATATAATATTTAAAATAATAATAAAATGACTAGATAATTAAAATGGGTGTTACATTCCACATCCACCTCTTGATTCTCGAATGGCTGGTGATATTGATGTTGACTGGATTAGTTACCATCAGAGCGTTCAGAATGTGATTCATCCGACAGCACCGACCACCACCCCATATGAGACAGATGATGGGTATCTTGAGTGGTATTATCGTGTTTCGCATCCTCGTCTGGTACCGCCCAGTGTTGATGCGACAACAGAGATGTTAGTTCCTGTATATGAAGCAGGACCATCTGATCCTATAGTGGCTCGTATGTCTTCATTGATTCATCGTTATCTTCAGCAGACTGGTGCTGAAGAGGATGACCCATAGTTTGCTGATTTGTTCAAAGCTTTACATCTTGGTCGATCACAGTGACTTATATTTATATTTATGGTTATATGTTAACCTTTAGACAGATTTGACCTAATTGGTTTATGTTCATGTGTTAACTTTTAGACTAATTTGACCTATTTAGTTTATGTTTATGTGTTAACTGATCAGTAAATAAATTGACATACAAACTTGATCTTTCATTATATATTATTTCCAACCCCAAGTCTCGACGAACCATTGGCCAACCATATTCACCATATCCATGCAATGAAGTAATGACTCGAAATCCACAATTACCATCTGATACAACATTAACTACATCATCAATATATGACTTGATGTGATTAGGAAATTGAAGGATGAACTGCTTAGATGACTGTGAAGATTGTGATAATTTCAACTTTTTCGAAGCCTGTGATGGTTGAGATTTCTTTTGTGAAGACTGTGATAATTTCAATTTCTTCGAAGTTTGTGATGGTTGAGATTGCATCTGTGAAGATTGAGATGCTTGATCCACATACTCGTGATACGAAGGGTCTCTATAAACATCATATCCTACTGGTTTTTTGTCTTTCTTCTTGATTCCCCCTTTAGTTTTTATTTTCTCAGGTGGTGGACACATAGAAGTCATTGTAGGGAAGGCAAGTTCAAAAACTCTACTTTTTAATGCCTTTTTCCCAACAACATCCAGTGACTTAAACCTTTTCCATAACTCATCTATTGCACTACTCATATCCACCTCTGATCCATCATCTACATCTCCGTCCAACTTAACTTCCATACTTAGTTTTCTCCAATGAACATGTACAACATCTATTGGTATCGGTAAACCATCAATTCTATATCCTGTCAACTCACAAGCACAAGGTAATCAGTAGGTTGTTCTAAGAGTACAATGGCATATTTCCTTGTTAGTTCCAACATAATCAACTCGTTTTAACTCTTCAGCAATGTGTCTCAATGCATCTCGAGACACTGAACCACGTAAATTATTGTAAAATGGACTTACGTGGGCGTGCTCAACTTCATAAAAACTCTTTTGAAAAGAAGCTCTAATATTACTCAATTTTAACTTTAAATTGTCATTCATAGCCTCCCAACATTTGACCATGTCACCAATATTGTTCCCCAACATTTGCTTTAACTTTCAATGAGCAGACTCAACCCTAAAATTAATACATATTTAAAATATTTTAAAAAAATTCAAAAAAAAATATACAATTTAGAAATACTAAAAATAAATACATACCGATTAGTCGTAGTGTTACCCAAATGTAGCACTCGATTAATCCATGCTCCAACAAATCTTTGTCTATGTGGTGTCAACCATGTGTCCTTCATATAATCAATAAATTCATTACAATCAACACACGCCTGCTCAAGTTGGTTCAACCATTGATCATACTCAACCTCATCACTAGCCCATACAACATCCGTCCATAATTCGTCAATTTTCTTTTGCATGTCACTAGCCACATATTGTTTCCATTTTGCATCAACATTCTTGTTAATATGAAATCGACATAGCATATTGATCGACCTTGGAAACACAATTTCAATGGCTTTCATCAAAGCAAGATCTCTATCTGTCAAAATCACTTGTGGACACAACTCTTTCTTCACAAACAATTGTTTAAGCTTATCTAGCACCCAACAAAAAGTCTCAGTTTGCTCAGACTCAATATAGGCAAATGCGATAGCAAAAGTCAACTCGGTTGATGTCATGCCAACAATTTCAAACAGAGGTTGCCTATATTTGTTTGTCTTGTAAGTGTTGTCCATAACTAGCACAATAGGAAAAATATTCAACAACTTAACTGAATCTGGATGAGCCCAAAAGATATCTCTAATTACTTCAGAGTCATCTCTTTTTCTACTCCAATAAACATAATCTGCTTCCTCAATAAGCTTAAACAAATGTTGTATCTCACTTCTAGGACCTCTTATATTTTTTTTTTCATCATACTCTTCTATTTGTATATTTGCGTGATCCGAGTGACATTATTTGGATCTTGCTCTTGCAATGAAAGCAATATATGTCTAGGTGGAACCTTTCTCTTTGTCAAATCAACAACATGTTGCTTCTGATCCGCTGTCAACCTACCGACAAATGTGTGACCTTCTAATCTATCAGGTAAATCATGGTTATGAACTCCACATTTTACATCAATCTTCCATCCAGATCCATCAGTCGCTGGAATTGATCTGATTTTAAATGGACATCCATATTTTTTCGTCGCACTCTGGGTTCCACTATCAATATCTCTGTGTTTTCCTCCTTTATCACATCCAAATATTAATTTGTTACTTCTTCCTTTCTTGCCTGTTTTAATATATGAACGAGTGATGATAACCGTAACTTTATTTCGGATTCCGATCTCTTTAATCCATCTTATTACCTCTTCTCGTGTACCAAATCTTTGAGTTGTTGAAAAAACATCAGACGTATCTACGCATATCTGATCTTTATCGCATATTTGTAAAGGAATTTCTGAAACCTCTTCTCGTGTACCAAATCTTTGAGTTGTTAAAAAAACATCAGACGTATCTACGCATATCTGATCTTTATCGCATATTTGTAAAGGAATTTCTGAAATAATTACATTAAAAAAATTCAAAAATAATAATAAAAAAAATAATTGGACAATTCAAACCGGAAGACTTGTAGCAAGTGTTCCGGTAGCCAAAAAAACAAACCGGAAGACTTGTAAAAAGTCTTCCGGTTTGTTGTTTTGTCTACCGGAACTCTTGCTACAAGTCTTCCGGTGAACACCCACGAAAATTACCAAACCGGAAGTCTTTCCTGAAGTCTTCCGGTACAGTATTTTTGTGAACCGGAACTCTTTGTCCAAGTCTTCCGGTTTGAGAAAAAAAAACCTACCAAAAATCATTTTCAAAGTGTTCCGATAGATCGTGGGATGAATTTCTCGGAAGTCTGAAAAATCTAAAAAGTGAAAAAAAAAATTAAAATATATAAAGATAAAATGGATATTTTTTTAAAAATATACGGGTATGGGTATAGGTATGGGTATAAGTTAAAATTTCTCAAAATATTCCAATTACCGGTTTCATCTAATTACCACCTGACCCTAAATCTTAATAAATCAATTAAAATTTGTATGGGCTCCACAATAGTCCTTATACGTTATTAATATCACTAACAATTTTTTGCTCACATATCAGTCCATAATTATTTATTCAGTTAAAAAAAAAGAATTTAGAATAATAATTTATAAATCATGATTAAAGAACCATCTAACGATAAACTAATTATTTATTAAATTTTTATAATAGAATATAATATATTATTATATGTAGTTTGATTTATTGTTTTTTATTTATTTATAAAAAGATGTATTCTTGAATTTTATTTTATGATAGTACATTAAAAAATTAGCAAGTTTAATATTATTTTTAATTAAATTATTATAATTAAGAGATTAATTATTATATACTGTCAGTGTAAAATATTTTACACTATCAATGCATCACAATTATTCGTTGATATTATTTTTAAAAAGATGTATTCTTGAATTTTATTTTATGATAGTACATTAAAAAATTAGCAAGTTTAATATTGTTTTTAATTAAATTATTATAATTAAGAGATTAATTATTATACACTGTCAGTGTAAAATATTTTACACTATCAATGCATCACAATAATTCGTTGATATTATTTTTTAAGTGATTAAAATAAAAGTCAAACTTTTTAAATAAATCAATTATCGTGATTATTTGACCGTGTAAAAGATTTTTACACGGTCAATACATATTAATTAAATTTTATAATTAAATAACTATAAATAAATAAATTAAATTTTTATATTACATTTTAATCAATTCAACATGCTATTATGATTATGAAATTTGACAAAAATAAAAGGATGAGAGGTATTTTCATATTTGCAATTTTAGTTTTTTGTTTTCATTTATTAAAATGTTTTATGTTAACATTTGCAACACCAACAAATATTTTAGATTTATTGGGATACATCAAATTGAAAGTATGGAAATATTCCATCTTAGAAAATATTCAGCATGCCAACGATAGGTTTTACTATTTCGGTAAGAATTCATTTTTTTTTTGTAATCTTTAATTTTTGTTGGTGTTAAATTTTTCTTACTCAGATTCCTTTGTGGGTTCTATTTATAATCAGAATTCGATTACTCCTAATATTCATTTAATTAAACCTTACTTAAAAAAACATTGCAAACACGTTTCAATTAATTGTTTTTTTTTATCAAAATGATTTTAATTATTCTTATAAGAGATGAATTCTACATGAACATGAAGAAAACATATAAAAATCATACTTACGTGTATTAAATTTCATTCAAATATTTATACATAATTTATTTTTTTATGTAGTTTTTAATATTATTTAAATTTTTATAAAATACAAAAAAAAAATTATTTTGTGATGTTTTCCTTTATTAGGTGCAATTTCTAAAATTGGAACAGGACCTCCAAATTTTCCAAGACGGCTCTGGTAATCCTCGTATCAATAAGACGCATTCTAAAAATTCTCATAACGAAGTGACAATATTTTGTAATTCTCAAATGAAAAAATGGGTTATGGCAATCCCTGTAACAAAAAGGTAACAACCGACGATTCTCGAATGCAAAAAGTGAGTTCAGGAAATCCTCAGAACTACATGGTAATATTCAGCAATCCTTGAATGCAAAGAGTGGTTATGAAAATCCTCAAAACAAAAGGTAACATCCGGCAATCCTAAGATATAAAAAGTGAGTTATAGAAATCCTCAGATCAAAATGATGAAGATTTGGAAATCCTTGAATTCAACAGGCTTCTGAATTTTGTTAAACAAGAAACTAGCCTTTATAGATGTCAAACTGTAATAAATTTTTATGCTGGTGAAGACTGCTCTCTAGAAATGCAGATGAATGTCATACATGATCCACATTAACTGTAATGTAATCTACCTCCTGCCCTAATTTTGATTCTTGTTTTCAATTTGAAATAACTTATTTATATTGAAGGATAATTTAGTATTTTAGTATGTTTCCTATGTGGCCCTAGTATTTGTGTATAAATAGACTAGTGATAGTTGTAATTTATTTCATCACCTTTCTTACAGCTTTTATAGTTGTTATTGTAGAGCAATAAATATTCTCTCATTCGTTTTGTTTTCATCATCTTGTGCACTAACAATTGGTATCAGAGCCTTTGGTTCGAGAAAGGGACCGACTTACTTATATCGAAAGTATACCCACAAGTGGTGGATTGAGTGTCCCGTTGAAGAGTTTCCAACGACAATACAAGTGTATGTGGAAGAAAGAGCTTCCACTAGAGGGGGATCATTGTGGTAGAATCACACTTGGGGGAAGTGTTGAAAAATAATTACAAGTGTGAGTAGTGTAGATAATAGTCCCACATTGGATAAGAATGTGGTGACTTAAGCATTTATAAGTGAGAGAATCCCACCCACCTATCACCTTAAGGTTTTGGGTGAATATGTGATGTGTCTCTCACAAAGGTGTGTTACTCTAAGAAGGACGTTTCACCATTTAGAATGCTTCTCGCTTGACCCCCCTTCCCCTCCCCCCGATTGGTGCACCAACAAATGGTATCATATCTCCGGTTCGTCTACGGGAAACACGAGTGAAACAGTGACGCGTTGTGTGATTGATTTTGTTTCTTGAATTCTTGTTGAATCTTGAATGGAATCGTAATAGAATCATATTTTCTGATTCTGCGGGATTGGGAAACACTGTGTTTGATGAGATCTGAGTGACTTGCACAAAGTTGAAGATGA